GGCTCTATTAATATGATCAGGGATATAGACAAGTAATGTAACCCATTTTAAAACTAGCCTAAAGGACATGCAAAAAAATAAAGTAATTGTTTTAAAATTGGTTGATATTAATCCTAATTTTATGAAGATTCAATTTTATTAGGATTTTTTTTTGGTAGAAAAAGGGTTTTATCCTAATGAGCATAAACCATAATAAAAAAGTGACAATTCTACAAACATAAAACGAGAGCCCAAACACCAATAAGAAAAAAAATAATAAATAGGACGGGTGCCCCTGGGTTGACAATATATCCCAGAAAAGGAAAAAAACAAACAAGCTCTCAATAATACATATCTGATCTGAGGTTTGTACAACAAATAAATATTAGAATTCATGTACGAAACAAAAGAAAACTACTCGCGACCCTCACCACATAATCTCAGCTCAATGCTCTTTAGGGGCTCATGCTCATACATTGTTTATAATATAAATACTATTAGACTTTAAAAGCATATAGAAAAATGTCTAAAATAAGGACATGACCAGCAGTAAAATGGTTGCACATGCAACGTGAAATGAGGCATGTTTGAAGAGTGGAGAACTGAGCAACACATGAGAAACACGCTTTAGATTAAAGCTTAATTATTTAAGATCCTCCACTTTGAACATGGCTCACTGCAAGAAAAATGCATGTATAAAAATGTAATGATTAATAAACACACCAACACTATAGTTGTGTATACGAAAATCCTAACAATATTCTAACCCAAGTTTTAAGCAAACATACAATGTGTTTTCTATTTAGCACCTATGTGACAATTATGCAATGTAAGGCTAAAGTGTCTTCCCATTGAATCTTGACGAGGTCACCAAAACTGGCCCCATCCCGAGCAACTGAATGAGCTAGCACTCATCACACTAGTGACGAATGTTTACTGAATCCTATGCTTGGAATGAACCTATAAGATCTAATAGTAATAAGATAACTCACAGCACCTCTTTGGTCAAGCCAACATCTGATGTTCAATTTTCTTTTACCGCCACAGGTCATAACTAGGTTTAATTGAACTCATCGTTAATGTGCTAACTTATGAACCTAGACCTATATATGAAAGATGAGTGAACTCATTTGGACAAATAAGCTATATGATGCATGAAAATGCACGATGTGCATAAATCTTGTCTTGATGACTTAACTCTGAAAACACAAACACAAAAATCATTATGCAATTAATGGAATGCAAATGCAACAAATGCAATAAACACATGCCTACAAATGCAACACGTGCAACATACAACACAAATTCATAAAGGAAATCAAATGATCTAATTCATATGATTGTCTATAAAAATCAAACACACATTTGCAAATGCAGGTCTTCAAATCATAGGAATGCCACTGCAATGTCACAACCAGTGTCACCCTTCTGACTTGGAAGAAAAGGGCATGATGTCACTGGTCTAGGAAGCAGCACCACGAGGCCATGAACTTTAATCCTTAGATCATATGGTGGGCTATGCAAGCACACTACATCTAATACACACTGCAATGATTAATTAGTGGTGAGACTCTAATGTGTGTCTTAATGCCTCACCAGGTGGTTTCAGAGCTTGGAAAGAAAGGAATGGAACTTATATTAACTTAGTTGATAATGGTTGGCTCACTATAAGTCTATCAAGTTTAGTTGATAGATTCAGGAACACCAACTCCACAAGGGGGAGCAACGAATGAGCCGAGATAGAAATCCCAAAACCCAACAACCTATAAAGGTTCATCAATCTTGCTTTATTTGAGTCAACTTAACCAACCTTTTGTGCTAATAAAAAGGAAAAGGTTGCTATCTTCATAAGGAGGTCCAACCAACAGTCCAAGTAAAAACCTAAGCCAAAGGTCTATAAAGGTTTGCACTTAAAATTGCTCTAAAATGTTGCTAAACTTGGCTAGACAACCAATAAGCATATGGTCATTACGAAAACATATGTGGTGCACGGGATATGAGACTATGAGAATGGAAATTCTCAGGTCAGTACCAGGTTCGACGCCACCGCTCAATTAATAGAATCAAAAGATAAGCTAAGAGAGCCAAGGCCTATGACCATTGAGCTTTAAATATCCTTGATATTTTCAACTCAATGAGGCCCATGGCTCGGGGCCGTGGCTTGAGATCAGCATTGCGGCTCATTGCTAGAATAACTATTAAGTCTGATGGAGGTTGCAACACAGCTGAATAGTGTCATGAACTTTCTACCAAAAGCAAGGTATGACATCACGACACTATGCTAACCCGATAAAGACGGTATCACAACATTGTGAAATGATGTTGTGGCATTCTTGTGAGAGCTATATGAAATTGAGGCATCAAGAGGAAGTGTTAAAGCCCTGACCCGAAAAAAATATACATAATGTCATGACACCAGGGCCCTAGGGCTAAAACATATAGGTTTTTATCACTCGAACGCATAAGGCAAAATGGAGAGATGTTGGGGAGGGAGCCATGCCTAATGATTTCTTCTATCAACAATTTATCCTAATCACTAAAAAACACCCTAATTGCTCCAAAAAGAGAGAAAGAAAAAGGGAAGAAGAAAAGCTCACATATGTAATGATTTTAGAGAAGTTTTTAGTGTTCTTAGCTCCAATGTCGCTCCATGAACACTCTGGCCACGAGCCAAACCATCACCGACAATGAGGTTTCCACTAGAATAGGAGGAAGTGGAGGAAGAAGGTGGAAACTCTTAGTTTTACCACAAGACATCGAAAGGGTATGGTTGAGATCAAAACTTCAAACCCTCGGGCTGCTTCTTTTAAAGGGAAAAAAGTTGGTATGGTGACACGATGCCAAGTCGTAGTATCGCAGCACCTGGTCATAGAGACATGGAGCTACTGACATGTCGCTTGCCACATCAGCCAACAGTAGAATGGCTGCACCGCATCTCGATAGGTACATATAGTTTAGTACTACACCATGATGCTCGATAGTGGCACTACGATGCTACTAGCGTGGCGAATGCCATGTCAGCAGACATGACATAAGTCATGTCACCAGTGGCTAACACATGTCAAATGGGGATGATATGAACATCATAACTTCAGTACATTACACATATGCACTGCTTATGTGGCAGATATTATGTAAGTAGACATTCACATTCAATCATCTACCACCCTCAGAATTAAAAAGTTAACTTTGGTGTCATATGTTGCACTGTTGGCACCACGACTTTGCCATGTGGCAATGAGGTTCTACAAGATCGACAATTTATAAGCGATAACCGTGCAACTCAATTGCTGGCACAACGATGCTATTGATCAAACCCAAGAGTGTAAATATGGGGGTAATCCCAGCACCATGGCTCTCGGACAGGGCACTAAGGTGCCATTGGCGAGTTTTGCTACTCTGCAAGGCAACATTGTTGCCATGCACCCTTATTTTAAGAAATTAATAATATAATTTAAAAAAGAAAGGTAAATTTATTTCCTTCCCTATTGAAATAATACAATTGAGTTGAATTCTTTTTAAAGATGGGACAATCATGATTGTGCTCAATTTATATCACAATGATGATGGCAAAATTATAATTTATGAAATATAATATTTTTTTTAAAATTGTTGATTATAGAATTATTTCTAAAAATAAATAATGAGGATAATGTATGTCATTTTCTTCCATATTTACATCATGATGATAAATCCTTTGCCAAACTAATAAATGTGCTACCAATCTGAGTATTATCATAGCCTTCTTATTTTGTAAATAATGAGAGAAAATAATTAAATTTGAGTCCTGTTTAAATCATTTTAATAAACAATATAATAATGCTTAAACCTTATTCAGCTGAACTTTGAAACTTAATAAACAATATAATAATGATTAAACCTTATTCACTAACTTTTAGTTCTTCAGGGGCGAATATGAAGCTTTCCATTAACAACTTTGCCCCATATGTGAGGCTTGTGGAGGAGTTGGAAAAGAGCTTTCTCTCCAACTAGGGACTATTGCCATACTTACAAAGTAAGTACTTAAAAGGTTGGATGGAGTGGTCACATCACATATAAGTGAAACTATGGTGACGTAGTCATTTCATCTACCCTTATAAGTATATACTTATAAAGTATGCAATATTTTCTCCCAACGAGAACTCTAGGGTTTAAAAGACATCCTAACCACTAACCAATAATTTATAAAATAGTTGACATCAAAACTCAATTTCCCCAAAAATAAAGAATAAAAAATTTAAGAAAAATAACTTTGCCATTGATCGATAAATGTGAATGAGAAATCACCACCAGAGACAAGAGGGAAGATGCAAAATCAGCCGATTTCTATTTCTATAAATGGGATCTTCGGATATATTTCCCGATAGAATGTGCAGCAGATATTTTGATTAATTACTTTTGGGCATAAAAATCGCATAAAAATCTTTTTTTTTTTTTCTGTGGGGCATTTACATACATATCACCCAATTCTCATGAATTTGCAGATCTAACACCAAAAATTCAATTTTTACCTCTGTACCTCCCCCAAATCTTTCAAACCATATAAAAAATGTCATTATTTTAACTTTTAAACAAAAATTGAAATACATCTTTTTTTTTCATACATAGATACGGCTGCATATATGTAAAAATCAAAGTTTAGATTTATAGAATGGCATATATGCAAAAATTAAAGTATAGATGTTGGATATGAAAATACATAAGAAATTTAGAGATATGCATGTAAATCTTCCTTTTCATATTTATATCCAAATTAATTGGTGTTGATCCGGATCACAGCTGAAATCCAAATAAGAATTCTACGAACAACACATGCTGCAAATAAATTTACAAGTCACAACTCAACAATAAATGTGCGAGGAAAGGAGATAGTTTGCAGGAAACCAAGGAGCGAAAAGTCGGCCGACAATCAACAACTTTTTTTCTTCTGTACAAAGATCAAAACTTTCAAACTATCAACAATAAGGTCCAAAAAATACGCCATTCAAACTCCATTAATCACAGATTAGAACAGCACTTCATCAATTCAAAATAGAATTTATCGAAAACGGAGAAATACAGAACAAGATTTCGAAAACAAGAAGGAAAGATGATATTTTAAAAGCAGAAAATCTTGTGAAAAATGTAGAGGAATGGATTGAGAGCGAACCCACCAATTCTTAAGCCCAAGAATTATCAAAAGCAGCGGATATGATCACCTGTGAAAACTCTTTAAAACTAATGCGGCCGTCGCCATCGGAGTCAGCCTCTCTGATCATCCCTGTGAGCTCATTGGCGGTGAGGGCATGGCCGAGTTTCGCCATCGAGTGGGCGAGATCAGCGGCCGTGATGAATCCGTTCCCGTCCCGATCGAAGATCCGAAAGAGATGCTGGAGCTGTTCTTCCGTGTAGGGGG